CAACTGTAGAGATGTCTGCCTTCTTCAGTATAATGGAACTAGATGGCACTCGGCTTGTGGTGCTCAAAGCGCTAAAAAATATAAACGTAAAACTCAACAGCAATGTCTCTTTCCAGAAATCATAACCCAGTTACTTAAGATAAAACTTAAAATTAAAAACTGACCAAAACAAGCCTTGTACTTGTACATGTAGTGGACGTTGGTCTCAGGCAGAGCTTCCTCGATACTCTCAAACTCCTCCTGTCTGATTCCCTTTGAGGCCATAAAGCTGGTGATCTCTGCCAGCATGTGGAGGTGTGCTATAGAGCTCGTCATGTTGTTGACCGTCCCCAGCTACTCTCTGATGGTGAAGACGTCCAGCAGTGCCTGGGTTGGATGCTCCCCACTGCTGTCTCTAGCATTGACCACAGGCCTACGACAATGACGAGATGCACAGACCTTGCTGTGAGACAGACACACCAAACCCACATCAGACAACTACACAGTCAAAAGTCAACTGTCGCGTTGCCTCACGTCGCCTGTGTCTCGGCCAAAAAATAACATGAACACACTGCAAAGACTACAGCAGACAGCCAACCAGCACATATGTTCTGCGCCTGCGTGAGAGGAAGGAACTCTTTTCCAGTAGATGGCGGTAGTCTGTATTCGTCATTCAAAATAGGGAAACCAGAAGACCGTCATGACGCTAGTTAGCCAGTTAGCACATTAACAAGACAACCCGATGCTGAAAGAACAAAAGGTTATGTAACATGAAATAGCAGTGAATAACACAATCACAAACTGTTCTCCAAAAGAGCTCAATGGCTAAAAAAACAATCTTACCTTTTATAACAAGTTTGTTTCGATCTCACTCCTTCTTGACATAAGCTGGTTGTTTACTTTCCTCACTTCCCTTTCTCTTCACATGTACTGAGTTGAACTTCCAATTGGAGTGATTTCATTTACCAACAGGCCCTGCCGTCTCCAACGCTGATTCAACATAATCATCATCATCAAAAACTAGGTTGACAGGCACTCGCCGACAGTCAACCATTGGCTTGGTGTCAGGGCCTCAAGGAACTTTCACTCTACCGAACCGAACCTCACAACCGCATCACCACGCAGACGGAAGCGTGAATCTCTTCATTGATGAGAAGCCTGTGATCATGATAGTGCATGTTGTAAACATTAATGCCATCTTCCTCGGCTGAGCTGTAACATTTGATAGCTTTGTCGTGCTAGGTGAGCTATCAGTAGATGCACGCTACCTTTGTGCCGTGATATGTTTGGCAGGTTTAGCTCAGTAGAAAGAAAATAGTTCCCACATTAAACTGCTCACAACAGGGTCTGTGAATTATCTTGAGTAACTGACTCATGAAAGAGACATTGTTGTTGAGGTTGTCAAATGCATTTTTTTGGCACTTTGAGCACCACAAGCCACAGGGCCATTTAGTTCCATTATATTGGAGAGAAGGCAGACATCTCCACAGCTGATACCGCCAACACTCAGCAACTCACATAAAGAATATACTGATTAACAGCACTACAGGTTAGAGGAAAAATATGTATTTTTGATTTTTGGTTGAACTGCCACTTTAAAGAGATATTTAATTAAGGTTTTCTTATCACCATGAAGTTTGCCTTTTTACCATCCAGACAAGCTGATCGCAAGAAGTTTGTCTGACGCTGCAGTTCAACGAGACTTGAGACAGTCCTTGAATTAGTGTTAAGTGCTTGATCAAATTTCTAAAAATGCTGAAATATCTGTTGACCTGCCCTCTCTGTGACCTTCTGGCTGCTGCATCCGTGTATGTTCTCGCCAGCATTTCTGCAGAGACCTGGAGGCGATGTAGCAGCCTGCTGTTTAGGTTACTAGGTCTTGTCTGCGAGTCTTCCTCCCAGTGGAGGAACAGGGCTAATCACCATCATACCGTGTGCTATTAGTGGTTTGCTTTGGGTTGTAGCCAGGCTAGAAGCTCAACATCACAGAACTCAGAACCAGCTACTGTCCAAATACTGCGTGTCCACTAAGTGTGTACACCATCAATCACATGGGGGTCGTGATTATGTATTAAATGTATGTTTTCGGCAGATGAGCGACTCACCCTTTGTTCTCATGTGTTTACTTCTGCCTCATCTAACCTAGAATTACAGTAGGTCTGTGCATGCATTTTGCATTTATAAACGAAAATAAGGGGTCCAGTCAAAAGTGACGCCTTCAGTCTTGAGACAAAAAATGATTTCAGAGATAGACTCCTTGTTTATTTTTTTGTCACGAGTTAGACAGTTCCTCCACTTTTGATCACAGGCTTCTTTGTTGGATGGTGAAAAAGATGAGTGAAATAGACGAGTTATATAAGAGCCTGTGTTTTGACTGAGAAGGAGCGACGAGAAAATAACAAAGTAGGCCAAAAACCACCAAACTGTTTATTAACTGTGAATTAGATGTAATGAAACAAGGTTAAAAAAAACAGAAAGATGGCTTATATAACCGTCACTGGTGGCCCAAAATTCTCTTTCATTTGGAAGTTAGAGTTTCGAATTTAAGTTGTTTACCAAATACTTAATTCATTAATCATCATACATTTCACTTCTTTAGTTCAAGTCTCTTTCCTCCTCATTTCTGTCTTTCTTGCCCTTTGCACATCTGCCTGTCCTTCTTTTTTTTTACTGTTATTCTTGTGTCATTAGTCTTTTATTTCTTCTTTTCCTGACCTGCTACCTCATTTTGTCCTCTCTTCCTCAATCTGATGTCTTTACATTTATCAATTCATCATGCTCATCCTCACCTTCCCTTCAATCATCTGTATCCCTATCATTCCTTACAGGGCTTGAACTACCACGTGCGTCATATTTGAGCTGTAATTGTCAGCTCTACATGCAGCGGTGGACATTACAAGGTACGGAGAATATGTTGTGCACGGCTGCAGACTCACGCATTGATCGGGAGACTCACGCAATTAACACTTATCACATATGCCACGTGTCCATTTTCTACTGCAATGAAGAAAAAAAGTATAATGTCGAGGTGCGAAAAGAGGACACAATAACAACACAATCTAATGTTCAGAGAACAGAGCAATATTACTGGATGCCAGTGAACAATAACACACACCTTTACAAAATGTATCTGCTAAAGCGCTTACTGGCTCAAGAAAAAAATTCTTACTGCATGTAGCAAGTTTGTTTTGACCTAACACACTCTTGACTTTAGCTCTTCATTTAAATTTCTCACTTCCTTTTCTCTTCTCGTACTCTGGGCTGAACTGCCAATCAATGTTATGAGCCGACGGGCTCTGCTGTGCCGAAACAGAAAGATGTGTTGATTCAGCGGAAGAAAGGGCCAACTACCGCCAACGAGGGCCAATGGTGCAGTATGCAACACACCAACCAGGGCAGCAGATGCTCACCAACTGCCCAACTTTGACTGACGGCCAACCATCAGGTTGATGTGTCAGGGCCTTTACACTAGCCCCTTTCACACTGCCTCGTCAACATGGGAATATCATGCAGTTATACTGTCCTGTATAAAAGGTACAATCGCGGAATGGGTGGACAGAATTGTCTTACCTTTAAGCCAGCATTGGAGGTAGTAACGGTGCTGAAACGACGTCTAAAAAGGGCTGGGAGATTTAAAAAGCAGCTGATAGCAGTTGGCGGCTAACTCGAAGAAGAAGAACCGCAGCCAAAAATGTCTGCAAAGTGGCAAAACAATGCTCCTTATCCTCCGAGCAGAGGACGAGATCAGCCGCCATGTAACAAGGATACTAAATGGTTGTGATTACCATGTAATGCCATTGGTATTGTTTATCAAGCACTGCTGCGACGCATAGGTTTTATGTCACACTAGAGGCTGAAGCTGTTGTGTTACACGTCATGCTTCTTTTGCTTCCACAATGCCAGCATGTTGACTAAAATTACACACTGGAGCATCATGATGCTGCTGTTGTTTGATTCTGTGTAAAAACACAAAGGTGGCATAAAGACAGCACTTTATAGCGGCCCTATGGCGCGATTTCTGTGTAAAAAGGGCTACTGACAGTGCACAGACAGAGAAGACAGAGCAGTGCAGCACAACAGCAGCACTGTATACAATCTGGTTAGGCCACCCGCTGCTTGGACTTTGATACACTTGTTGATTAGGTGATGTCACTAGATAAGCCCGAATTTGATAAAACTGTTTCCATATAATTTTTGCTGAAAGCACAATGGATTTCTGATCAAAATATTCCTATAGAATTGGTACATTTTGAAGCAGTTTAACTACTGAACAGGGAACATTTGCTCAGATGACACAAAATGTCTTAATTTTTAAACTCTCATAAATTAAATGAATAAATGTTTCTTTTTCAGAGGTTTGCAGAAAATGTCAGTGTAATCCTTTCAGGATCCTTGACAAATGAAAAGGTATGTTACTGTACAGTTTTTTTTTAGAAAAAGTAAAATGAAAGTTCAGTTTAGTTTCAGTTTTATTTGAATAGCTCAACATCACAGGGGGCTTTAAAACGTGTCACCCTCTGTCCTTGGACCATCACAGTGGATAAGGACAAACTTTTCACCCCAAAAAAAACTTTAACAATGAAAAAATGGAACAATACAATTGCAATAGAAATCTCACAAAATTAGGTAATTAGGAAGAGCAACTGAGGAGGGATCGCTCTCCCAGGATGGACAGACTGACAATTTTCTCATATTGGAACTCTCATAAAAAAGAAAATAAAGCAGCAGACAACAATGGATTTCTTTTGAAAAAGAAGGACTTATACACCAAATGGTGCAGTAAAAAAATGGTGTTAAAAAGCAATTGCTACATGTAATTTAAACTATAAACTACATGCACCAGTGCATGCACACAGAAAATAAGTATTTCAAGCCCTGATCTACGTATCCCTCCCTCCCTCCCTCCAGATATCTCCCTCTTCTCTCGATTTGTCTGTCATACATCCTATCCGTTCCTCTCTCTGTAACCTTTCAGTGCTGAAAGGTCAGTACTCTAACTTCTACTTTTCTGTTTCCCACAGACCCTGTGGTGCTGGGCAGAGCGTTATGGCTCAGACGCTGCAGATGGCGATCCCTAACTTTGGCAACAACATCCTGGAGTGTCTGAACGAACAGCGGCTGCAGGGCCTCTACTGTGATGTCTCCGTGGTCGTCAAGGGACATGCCTTCAAGGTCCCAAAGTTTTTTTTAACTGTTAATTTAACTGTTGTAAGTTGCCATTTGTTAACAATGTTAACAAATGGCAACTTATGCCAGTGTTGCACGGAAACTTCACCTAGGAACTGCACAGTGTGACCACTTAAGGGGGATTTATATTTGTGCGGCAGACCGTACGCCCTATTCTACTCATGTGGCCCACACAATTGTGAGCATTTCTGCTTGTGCGGTGGTGTGTCTTTATCGCTCTGCAGTAACACCTCCAAACACTAGTCAGCGACAGAGGTTTCTGTGAAGTGCGGTTAAGTTTAGTTGATTCAAAACACACATTAAACACACATTAAACATGGCTTAATAGAAACAATTTCAAACACAAGTACACAAATCAGCTTCACTATAACCCGCAGCATTCACAGACAAACACTTGTCTTTATCTGGACACATTTCCCCCACAAATACAACATGCTACTGTTTTTAGCACAAGCCTATGGCATTTTACATTGTATAAATTAGCATAGCGGCTAGCAAACCTCTATCTACTCTCTGTCTAAGCTAGGGACAACAGCAACATTTAACAAAGGTAATGTTACAAAATTCAGCTGTATTACAGCTCACAAGATTCACCAACAAAACAACTGTCTTATACTAAACACATTTTCCAAACAAATACAACATGCTAATGTTATTAGCACAAGTCTGTGGCATTTTACATTGTATAAATTAGCCTAGTGACAAGCGGAGATTTCCTCTGCGCATATGAAGCCAGGATAAATCACACACAAGACTTAAAATGCTATTTTTATGGAGGCTTTATTGTCTTCACAATGTATGGTTTCTTATCTGAAATTAAAATAAATAAAAGCTTAATTTCCACTGAGGGAAATGGTAGTTATATTTCTGGAGAGGCACATGTCTGCGCCGATTTGACGCAGAAGTTTAAGTTCCACCTAACTCAACTCACTCATTACCTGCAGTAGAGTAATTGGTGGCTAAAGAACGATTATTAGTATTTTTTCCGGGGCATTGGCTTATTGGTCATCTTGCCTGCTAAGTAACAAGCTCATGGGTGTCAATTATTTAGCATAATCTACTATAGCGTTATCATGAAATATAAACTTGTAGTTTAAGAAGAGGAAGCAGCTTTAAAGCTAAATAATATTTAAATCTTTACTCATATTGGCTTTATTTTTAAACAAGACAAAAGGAGTGGCCAAATTAGAGTTAGAATCAAAACTATAAATAAATAGTTTCAATTTTCATATTCTTTGCAGACTTTTTTCTTGCCAAAGCGTGCACTTTTTGTGTTAAAAACAACATGCTTGGGAAGGTATTTTGTATTCATGTTTCTAGTTGTTCATGGGGCCTGAAGGACTGGTTGCGAGGGCTGCAGTAAGGCGTAATTAGCTCCACAGTGAAGATATTGACAAGATTTTTGGTCAGAATCAATTGGCGAGACAGGGAAATATGACCCAGGTCAAAATCTGCCAGAGTCCTGCTTTAAATAATTTCTAATAGATTTTCTGATCTCCCTCTGGCCACTTCTCTCACTGGGGGGAATAAATCTTTGGCTTTGCCTCCATTCAATTCTATTTCAATTTGTAAGGCTACAATTAGAAATTTGGCTGTATGTCAGAATGCACTGTAATGGGAAATGAGTCCTTTTCAGTTAGATATGATCAGTATCTTTTTCCACAAGCTAGGGTCACTGTAAACATGATGGAGATGAAGCCAGTCTTCTACATGTTGTTAGTGGTTTCTTTCTACCTCCTTATACTTGACTGCATACACAAGTGAGTTTGAACCAGATCAGCTGTGTGTCATGATATGGATCATGATATTCACCTCGCATGGATTTCAATCAGACTCGACATATTTTTACACTTGCCTCTCCCTGCTGTTTACCCCTCAGGCCCACCGTGCGGTGCTGGCAGCCAGCAGCTCCTACTTCCGGGATCTGTTCAATGCCGGAGGGAAGAGCTCGGTGGTGGAGCTGCCCCCGGCCGTGCAGCCGCAGAGCTTCCAGCAGATCCTGGCCTTCTGCTACACAGGACGCCTCAGCATGAACGTTGGAGACCAGTTCCTCCTCATGTACACCGCTGGCTTCCTCCAGATCCAACAGATCATGGAGAAAGGCACAGAGTTTTTCCTCAAGGTAACCTGCTGATGAAGCATTCATAAACAACAATATAAGGCTTAGAACTATTGGTTAAAGGGTTATACGTGCACAGGATTTTTTCTATACATACAAGAACCCTTTAAATAACTTGTAATCATGCTACATATGAACCAGTCATGAATAAAATAGGTGTTTTATGTGCTGCCACCGCGGTACCTGTTGTGTGCGTGACATTATGCATGGCATTCTGTTGTCATAGGGGTGTCTGTGTTTGCGGACATGTTCTCGTGACTCCAGAATAATTGAAACATCACACTGACACTACAGGTACTCTCTATAGTAGCAGATGATCTGATTAGATTTGGAGTGCCTTGCTGCATAAATCTACATATTAATGAGGAACACTGATTTCCCTGAAAGTAACCCTTAACACCTCCAGACACAGAGTTAATGTGGTACGAGCTCACTGGTCTTGAAATACTGGTTATCAGACATAGTGGTGTTTTGTAGAGTTTGGCTTCTCCAGCAGCCACTTTGGCAAGCCAGCGAGGAATATTGAGAACTTGTGTTTGATGCTAAAAGTCTGTCCAGCTTGTTGTGTGGTGAAAGTAGTTTTGTACCAAAGCACTGTATACTTGTCGTTTATATTACTGGGCAAAAATCTGATTTATGATTGGGTAGTGTGTCTTTTTCAGAATATTCACTACTAATGTTGATATGTTAACAGAGCTTTGTGTTACCAAATAACAAAGCCTGATTTTTTTTTTTGATACCTTATTTCAGGAACATAAACCAGGTCTGCAACTAACAATTATTCCATCATTGATTAATCAATCTTACGGCTGGGCAATGTATCAATATTGAAGCCATATCATGATATCAGACCAGATATCGACTTAGATTTTGGATGGTGATATCGTACGCGATGGCTTTACCTTGTTTTCAAACAGCTCTGTGTCACCGCAGTGTGTGCAGATGAATGGTAGCTGCTCTCTGTGCTCTCCCCTGCTCATCTGTTGGTGGGGGTACCTGGGGTTTGCGTTACCTGGTGGACTTTTGGCAGGAGATGATCAGAGAGCTCCAGGCACTGGCAGCCTGGTGGGAAGCTAATGTTAATGCTAACATTAACCTTGTATTGGGTCCGCTCTGTGGAATGGATGCTTTTTGTTTAGATGCTGAAGTATTGATGTCAAGCTATTGTGGTAACCTAGTTTGGTTTTACAGTGGTCACACTGTACAGAGTTTTCATTTAGTTTCATTTTGAAATGATCCCAAACTTTGGACACTTTGTCCTTTTCTCTGGCCTTACTCTTCTCTTTGCCGCTTGCTTTTCTCCCTCTTTCTTCATTTTGCAAAATGCGCTATCAAATCACATCTTCTGTTTTGTGCATGAATGCATTTTGAGATGTCTACTTCAGCTTAAGCACATTGTGCCACAGTAATAATCATCCGTGCAAAAAACAGTGCTCTGTATATTGTTTTATAGATTAAATGAAGCTTCAATGCAGATAATTTGCACCAATGATTTTCAGTAATCAAGTTACTCGAGTTTCTTGAGGAATCATTTCAGCCCTACATGGCATCATATTATATATATATTGTCATAAGTAATCATTATGGTCGCGACGATAAGTTGATCAACATGAGTTTAATCAAAAAATATTTTGATAATCAAATAATGATATTTTTTTAAGCAAAAAAGCCAAACATTAGTCCAGTGTGTAGGATTTAGGAGGATATATTGGCACAAATGTAATATAATAAGTATGTTTTCTTCGGTGTATAATAACCTGAAAATAAGAATCGTTGTGTTTGTGTTACCTTAGAATGAGCCATTTATATCTACATAGGTATCATTGACAAACAAAACATTGGCTCTAGATAGGGCCATTCACGTTTTTGCATCATCCACCTTAGTTAGCAGCCCATCCGTGACGAGAGGGTCAGAAAAACATAGATTTTATAAACGTGAAACCGCTTTATTCAGTGTTTTTAACAGTTTAAATTACAAGGTTCATTTGTTTTGGAGAGGAGGAGACCTTAACGGATAATTCGGCTCCTGGTAAAAACCTCCTTAACAATGAACACTGGGGGAATATTAACGAGAAAAAGTTTCAGCTAGTTGCAATTTCCAATTCTCACCACTAGATGCCACTAAAGCCCCTAAATGTTATACACTGTTCCTTTAAATGTGAGAGCTTGATGCTCTTCTTTGTCACACATGATAATAACCTGCATAGCTTTGGCTGTTTGGACTGTTGGTCGGATGAAACATAACATTTGGAGACGTCACATTGAGCTCTGGGAAATTACACAGCGCATGTTTCACTGTTTTCTGACATTTAATTGATTAAATGATTAATTGATACAATAATAGGCAGATCAATCAATAATGAAAATAATTGTGAGTCACAGCCCTAGTTATGATACTAATGAAATTTATGTGGCCACACCTCCAGGTCTCATCTCCAAGCTGTGACTCCCAGGGTCTCCATACTGAGGAGACCCCGCCCTCCGAGCCTCAGAGCCCCGTCACTCAAACAATGGGAGGTGGGGGAGTTGGCGTCGTTGCCCCAGCCGCGGGGAGGCCCGCCTCTTGCCTGACGCCCCTCCCACTGGTGTCCAAGGTGAAGACAGAACAGACGGCCTCCACACCTCAGCCCACCCCACAGCCACAGCAGGTAGGCTGTTTCTGATCATCTCAAAACAAGCAAAGTGTTGCACTGATGAGGTAATTAACAACATCTAAGGCTTTTTTTTTTAAAAAAATGTGTGAATTATGTAAAATAGCCTTTAAAAATAATAAAATATAATTCTGTATTCACATCATTTGAAAAGGGGGCATCATGAGTAGGTGTCTCTTTGAGTTTGGGATTTGAAAAGGCTTTGATAGATTTTCAAGGAAAGCTCGCTCCAAGTAGCTCCAGCTACAAAAAAAATTAATCTGCCTGTTGTTACGGCGGCTGAAAAGCTTATTTGAAAAACACCATATATCTATACTTTTGGACAAATTATAGCCTGAAGGTTATTTCTGAAATATGGCAAAGACGATTTCACAAAGTTTTTCAAGCAAAGAAATAAATCATTTCAGATGTCAAAGGTCGTCATTTAAATTGTGTGCAGTTACTTTGTAAGAGCTTTAACTGAAGGTCTCAAAGAGCCTTACTATGAAGACACGAACATGGTGTGTGTGTTTTTTCATATTGCCATCCATATTAATGAGCTGTGGGTGTTAAAGGAGCACAAGCTGTAGTAAACACTTTGTCTCACTTCATTTATCGTCACATAAAACCTCCTCATACAAACACTAGAATGGATTTTGTGAGCTTTTTATTGCAGAGAAAGTGACGAGAAATTATACATATTTGGATTTTTGCTCACCTGCTGAAAGCTGGTAAACTAAAGACACCTACCTTCTAAAACCCAGGCTATATAAACAGAGCATATTTTCATTTTCCTGGTGGTGTCATGTGTACTTATTAAACATACCCTGGAAGTTTCAAATTTAGTTTCAGGTTGAAACCTGTTCACTCACTTGTACAGTGCATAGAGGACTGTAAATCTTTATAAAAAAAAGAAAAAAGTCGAAGTGTTGAGTCAGGCTACTTAAAATACAGCTTAAAGAGAAAGTGGAGAAACCAGTTTCTTGTCATTTGATTCAGAGAAAAGCATCTGGCAAAAATAGTTGCCATGTGATGTTGGGTGCTAAATCTGCATATCAGTGTGTCTGCTACAGTCCTCACTTTCAGCACAGGCAGAGTCTACACTGTGAGAACAGTGTGATCATCACCATAAAGTTTTGCTCTAGACATGCGAGTACCACAGACAAAATTCATACGTACGGCTTAATCTGTTAATGGCTTTGGAAAGACGCAGTCGGCATGTTCTTCATCGTTTTGTGACGCTGATTTGTGTTAATGTAGGCACCAGCCTTTTCTTGTAGTCAGCATTAGAGGCACGCTGAGGTTTGCTCACAGTTACAGACTTGCATAAGAGAATCTTATAAATTTTATTTGACATTTCAGCAACCAGTGAAGTGGGAGAGGTTTATAGATTTATTTGCCAAAGACTAATGTAACTACCATGTGGCGCTTAGCAAGTGCAGCTGAGTATCGAATCTCAATCCATTTTCCTTCTTACTGAAATGTATCTGTAGCAGCCAGTGTAAACTGTTTGGCATTAAAAGTTTGCATTAAATGTCAGCCTTGTTTTTAAATTGGCTGCTTTCTCATTTTAAGTCCCCCTCCACTTAAAAATGTTTTTTTCTTATGTTTATGACCCCTAAAATGAATGACCTTGGCTGTACTGACCTGTATCTGTGCAAAGTTTGTCACTAGAGAGGTGTTTTCCACATTCTTCTACTGAAGAGGGCGATGTCTGTGCACTTCCCAAAAATCTAAGATTCAAAGGAACGCGACACAAGCTAGATTAGGCACCAACATCTGGCTTTTATATTTAATATGAAAGCTACAATCGGCATTCACACCTGGGTCAAATGACTCTGAAGTAGCCAGAGGTATTTATCAGCTTCAGTGCTAATTGGCAGCGATGGAAATACAGCACCAGGTTGGATACGCTAACTTTAGCCCCGGTGAGATGCAATGACAGGCCGCTGCAAAATACCATCCGTTTCCGTTCAAGCAGAGCTTGGACATTGATCCAAATGTAGTTGGCATCGAGTTTAAAATAGGGACCGAAAAAGTAACCACCAGAATATCTTCGCTGGACTCTGGCAATGGGAACAGAGTCTATTGGCTATATTTAGCAGGTGTTCCCACGTTTAAAAATCCTGCATACATGCACTAATTTAGCACTAAAGTTTTATAATATGGACGCCAATCACGTATTGATGGGGTTATGACTTTGACACCACACTGCAGAGAAACCTAAAACCTCCAGCACAAAGCAGAGACGTTAGTACAGAGAGCAAAGTTAGCATTAGCAAAGTGAAAGTTTTGACAGCAAACATGGTGTACTGTGCAGTTTTTGGATGTAATCTGGACCCTGGAGCTTCCTCCCACTATCTACCAAAAAATAAAACCTAACAAACTTATTGTAGCAGATATTATTGTGTGTTTGACAAACACTAATGCTGCGTCAGCCACCTCCAGTTAGCCCACATGCTAACAAGTTAACAAACAACATAAACAAATAAAAAATACTAACTCTACTTAATCTAAGCTAATCGCTGATTTTGGTGCACAAAGCTTTTACTTTGAAGGGCAGTTTCCTGCTGCAGAGTGAGTGACTAATTGACAGCTATGTGACAAACACAGCAGTTTGACGACATGGCCAAACGCAAGTATGACCTTGAATGTATTAAACTTCATGGACCTTAAACTAATGGCTAAAGAGCAATCTGGACCCTGTGGTTGGACCAGTTGGGAACCACTGATCTAATGCTAACACTAGTCGTCTTGGTGTGTACTGCTCTTTCACTGGTCAGCCTGGCGCAAGAAGCACTGGAGAAAGCTAACAGCCAAACGTGCAGCAAGCAGCAGTGGTGGGCCGGGCAAAGGACAGATCCACAATTTCTCAGTGAGAAAGAATAGATCTGCCTCCAGACCCTTTTCAGAGTTACTCTTTATGTGGGAAAAACAAAATAGTTGGTTTATGTTCATTGATTGTTTTTTTTTTTTTGTTAAGCAATAAAGATGAATAAGCAGCGTCTCTCTCTCCTCAGCAGGAGGTCTCTCCCTACTCGGTGGTCTGCACCCCCGTGGCCAAGCGGCTGTGGGAAGGGGGCAACCGTGACAGCGGAGGTGGGTCCGGAGGGGGTGGGGGTGGTGGGATGAGGAAGGCCGCACGCTACTCTTCCTCCTCCTCTTCGTCCTCTTCCTCCAACAACGCCACCCAGGATGCCTCTGGGCGCGGACCTGCAGCCAATGCTGCCATGGTGGGCGGTGGCAGCGGTGCCAGCGTTCCCACTTCAATGGGAGGAGCTGGACTCAACAGTAACCACAACAACAACAACAACAACAACGGCGGCACCCCCGAAGGCACCAGCCCGGGCACACTGAGCATGTACACCAGCGACTCCCCAATCAGTTACCACGACGACGAGGAAGAGGACGACGTGGCGGACGAGAGCGCCGAAGAGCAGTACAGACAGATCTGCAACATGTACACCATGTACAGCATGCTGAACGCTGGAGCGGCAGGTAAGCTCCCACAGCAGGTGAACACATCTGACTCAGAGTGTGAGTTCACTTCACGGTTACTGTGTTTCATGTAAATGTAAAGTTTTTGTCTTGTGATGTGTAACTCTCACTGTGGAGTGTTTATAAGCACCAGTCCTGTAAGGATTGTTTATCCAAACTTCTCAGGATGTTGAGGAGAATGAAAGGTTCAAAACACAGAAACCAGTGGAAGTGGTGTGGATGCTGCCTAAAGCTTATGAATTGTTGATAGTTTATTTAATCAAAAGGACGATCAGATGGTTGTTTGGTGTTAAATATTCAGAGCGCTGATGGTTATACAAACCAAAGATTATTTAAAATGAGCGAGAAATGAGCTTTAAAGCAGCCAAACAGCATCAACAACAGGAGGTCAAGGGTCAAAGGGCCTTTTTAAGTCAAAGGTCCTGGATGGATTTAAAATATATGGGGAAACAAGTTGCTCAGGACATTAGTCCACATGTCTCCAGTGACCTAGAACTGAATCACCAGAGAGTTTGTGTTATATTCTCTAATTTCAACCGACTAAAGTAAGATTAAAAACACTTTACAAAGTGCACTTAATGGTTTTAATGCATGAATGGAGGCAAAGAAGCGCCCGATGCAAAGTGGAGTGTGATCTCCTCTGTGCTACAATCCTTTCAACATACACTTGTGAATTATCTCACTTATATAATGGTTAAAATTAGAGCACCGAGGGTTTTTTCATGTCTGCGCCAGCCACAGCCGGAGGCATTATGTTTTCGGGTTGTCCGTATGTCTATAACGTCTCGTGAATCTCGGGAGCGCCTTCTGGGGAATATCTTTACATTTGGCACCAATGTCCACTTGGACTGGAGGAGGAAATGAATAGAGTCTGGTGGTCAAATTTCAAGGTCACTTTGACCTCACAAGAATTCATATGCTAATGATGACATAATTACACACAGATGTCACACACACACACACAGAAGAGATGGCATTTTATAACCGAAAGGTCAAAGGTCAGCTTCACTGTGACATCATAATGTTCTACAAAAACACTTTTCTGGCCGTTATTCAACGCCATATCTCAGGAACAGAAGGGGAGACATTTGGTCGGATACTGAATTGGTGACACTAATATTGGGTGTCCGCAAATAGTCTCTAAGTGAAGACAGAATGTTTCTCACTGGAACTCATTCACTAGAAACGTACATATTCATTTAGTGATAACTTTAATTGTGCTGAAAAACACACTTAATACTTAAATTCTTTTAAGTCCTCAGTGCATATGTTATATGAGTCTGGAAACATAGATTTAAACTTTAACTCGACTGGTTGGTGGAGGCACAAATCAAAGAACTAGTGTCAATAAAGGCCGACTGTTGTGTCACCTGACGTTGCCTGTGTCTCAGCCAGAAAGTTTGACTTGAACACACAGCAAAGACTACAACCAAAGACCAACTAGTACGTACACTCTGCACCTGCATGACAGTGCAAGTGGTAGCTTGTACTCTTCATCCAAAAAGGGGAACTTAGAAACCAGCAGGATGGATTTAAGACGCTCGTTAGCCAGTTAGCACGTTAACGACAAAGCCCGGGCGCCAGCAAACACTTACACAATCACAAACTGTTTCTGCTGCTCAGTGGCTAAAAACAATAATCTTACCTAATATAACACCTTTGTTTTGATCTCACATCCTCTTGACTTTAGCTGTTTGTTTGCCTACCTCGCGTCCATTTCGTGCCCTAAGCTGAACCTCCGCTGAGAGTAATTCCACTGACTGATGGTCTACAGCAGCCTGACACGGGTTCAGCATGTTGACTCGGTCAAAAAGCCTCAGATAGGGGTTACGGTTAGAGCCTCACAGTCTTACATGACAGATGCTAGTCAGTATTTTTGTCATTAGCATACATCATTTCAATAATTTAATTTGAGCAGCAAAACTGAAATGTTTTTATGTCCTTAGTATTTTTATGTGACTGCTCTTTTCCTTTTGTTTTGTGGGGAAAAAAGTTAATATCCCAATAAGCAGGGTTTTGTATCTGCTCTGAGACTCTGGCACTAGAATAGTCAAATTTGAAATGACAGGGTAGGGCAGACAGGGCACCTGGTAGAGCAGGTACCCCATATACAAAGGCTGCGTCCTTGCCGCAGTGACCGCAGGATCAATTCCAACCCACGGCCCTTTGCTGCATGTCATTCGCCCTCTCTTTGCCTCTTTCACACTACAGCTGTCCTATCAAGTAAAAGCAAGAAGCCCCAAAAAATATCTTTTTGAAATGACACCCAGCCCTAAATGTAAGTAAAAAACTGCTAACAACACATCATCCTCCCTCCTCAGTGGTCGGGGAGCGGGTGGAGGCTCTTCCTGACTTGGCTCCAGACTCAGGCGGCGGGCGAGGGGGCAGGGGGGCGCGGTCCAGGCAGGACTTGGCGTCGCTGCCCGCCGAGCTCATCAGCCAGATCGGGAACCGCTGCCACCCGAAGATGTACGAGGAGGGCGACCCGGCCGAGAAGCTGGAGCTGGTGAGCGGCACCTCCGTGTACATCTCCCGCGCCCAGCTCATGAACTGCCACGTCAGTGCCGGCACCCGCCACAAAGTGCTGCTCAGACGCCTGCTGGCCGCGTTTTTCGACAGGTCAGTGGTCAACACGCTTTACCTGCCATGTATTTGGTTTGTCAGTTTGTGTGTGTGTGTGTGTGTGTGTGTGTGTGTGTGTTTGTATAAGCTGCAGCAAATGATAGACTGCAGGCTGTGAACTAGACTTCAACTGGAGTCAGTCCACTTTTGGCTTTGAGTCAAGTTTTCATCAACTCACTGAGGTCAGGAAATTTAGTTTTTGAAGCTCATCTTTTAGTTTCCTTTAAACTGATTTAATGGTTATTTAATGTGTTCCGTACATCATCTGTTTTTGTTTTTGCCTTGCTCAGGAGCACTCTGGCTAACAGCTGTGGAACTGGCATCCGCTCTTCAACCAACGACCCCAGTCGTAAACCCCTGGACAACAGAGTGCTGCATGCTGTCAAATGTGAGTCATACAGAGACACACACAGTTTTTGACACCATAAATACTGTCAGTTACATGTCAGTCAGATTTTGGAGCGGCCTGCTGCAGAGTTGATCTTTACAGCTTTGGAATTTTAAGACTCCTCGCCGTCCATTCATTTAGTGTTTGCCTTGTGGTTTCTTTCTTCCTCTTTTCCATTTTTCACCTCTTCTCTTTTCTCCAGTTTACTGCCAGAACTTTGCGCCGAGCTTCAAGGAGAGTGAGATGAACGCCATCGCAGCCGACATGTGTACCAACGCGCGCCGCGTCGTCCGCAAGAGCTGGATCCCCAAGCTCAAACTGCTGATGGCCGACAGCGACGCCTACTCCGCCTTCCTGGCCGACAGCGTGAAGATGGAGGCCGACGCGCTGGGGGCGGAGCAAGGCTTCGACCCCGCCTCCCTGGAAGCGGTGGCGGCGGCAGCGGCCGCGGCCGCCAACCACAATGAAGCGGGAGGTGGAGCCACGCAACCAGATGCCCTCCAGGGGGCGGGAGGAGATGGCAGCACTTTGTTTTGAGTGAGTGAATGGACAGATAGATGAGTGGACAGATGGACAGATTTGATGGAGGGAGGGATGGCATTTCTCTGGGGGCGATGAGTAGAGAACGGTGGCCGCTTTGGTCGTGATGACAGTTGTCACTCCTCCCCTCGCCGCCGTGTGTTTGGGGGGTCTCTTTCTTCTTTTACACCTCTTCTGGTCAGTTTGTTCTGCTTTCCCTCCTTCGTTTGTCCACGTTTCTGTCTCTCTCGACGGCCCAGAATGCCTCACTTTGGGTTGTTCCTCCTTCCTTTTCTGGTGGAGAGAGATGGAAAGATGGAGAGAAAGGTAGCAGAGGGAGGAGGTCATACCCCCCCACACACACCTCCTCACTCCTCTGCAACCTTTCAGAACCTGATTGTTTCAGCCTTTATTTTTTATGTTTTCTAAAGTGTGTACTGTCACTAAGGCCCGTTTCTTACCATAATCAATCACAGACATTCCCTGGGGTTGGGGGGGTGGGGGGGGGTAATCCTGTTTGGAGAACGTGATATTTCCTTCCCCAAACTCCGGTAACACTGTTGTTTTTGATATTGAATGTATGCGTGGCGAAGCATCCGAACCGCAGCGCTGTAAGTCAGTGGAGGTCGAGTGAGTTTGTACAGAGCCCTTTTTTTTTTTTCTTTTTTTTTTATTTGTCTGTTTTTGCTTTATTTCATCTGGACGCCAGATGAAAGCTTCTCGGAGAGCGTGGGATTGATGAGGTCAGGGGTTGAAATGAATATTAATATGTATATTGGCATGGTTTATGATCTCCCCGACCTCCGCCCGACCCCACAAACCCTGCTCTTCAACCCCAGCCGAGCATGCTGGGAAACTGACCTGCCCGCCTTTTAGAGAGCTGCTGGGGAGTTCTGACTGACAGTGTGGCGGGAGACGGGAAAAAACTAATATTTGATTGACTAAAAAACCTTTTCGCCTGAACTTCCCCTTGTTTTTTGACCCGTAGACTACATCCACAATAATATGCTTTTGTGTTAAAACACATGACTGTTGCTACGTTTACACCTGGCGTCCACACTACTCTTTGGCTTCCCTAAAATGGAGAGCTTTGAAAACACTGCTGACCCCGTTAACGTTTGAAAACCCTGGGGTTGGGTTGTAGTCTTGACATGAGGAAACTGAGACTTTAAAAAGGATTGGGTCTTATCGGTCACAAGGTGTCAATCCAAAAATTTATAGCTAATTCTACATACTTTTGTGATTTCATCCTTCATGTGTGGGTAACGTTGCTCTTTTGCCGTTGCCAGGCATCCTCCAGCGATGGATAATGCTCCTGGTACCGCCATATTTGCATCACAACACTTCCCAATCTGTTTTCTACCGCCTTGACAGCCTTATACTCACGTTATTTTCAGTAATGGTTGGTTGACACCTGGTTGTCGATCCAAGCAAAGAAATGGCTCGACAACCAGGTTGCCATCTCCGTATTATTTACTGTAACTAAGCAACCAGCTGTACACAATCTGCTTCCTGTTTACATTGGCACACACTCGCCAAGTGTACGTAAATAGTCCTGTGATTTGCGTTTCCAGGCGTGATAGTATGAGCGGAGATTATTTCTAAAATGGTGCTAAAACCCTCGTGAGTACAGAGATCTTTTTCATTTTAAAAAGCTGTTTTAAATTAAAAACGTATTAGTGTGGATGTGGCCTTATGAAAAGACAATTTTAGTTTTCTTATTTTTGTGTTTAAATTCTTAATTTTTCCTTTTATGTGTGTGATTTTTGCCGAGCCTCCCGAGGGAGAGGAAACTTGTTACCGATGATTGTCAAAGAGTTTGCGCGTGATAAATGCACTGTGTTATTTCCTGCGGTATGATTACAATCGAACTACGTTTTTGTACGTATCAGAGAGAGACGAGAGGCTGTTTTATTTAAAAAAGCAACAAAAAAAAGAGAAAAAATAGAAGCTGAAATCCAATTTATATCACTGGTTATCACCCTTTTTTTTTTTTTTTAGAAAAAACGTCTGAAGGAAAGTCAAGAAATATCCAAAAGCGAGTTTCTGCCCGTGAGTTTAGGAACGTGTCGTGTGTGTGTGTGTGTGTGTGTTTGTGGAGTGTGTGTGAGGATTCAGCAGCAATGTTCTTTTGTTTTCAGCTCGTGTTTAAATTGTTTTCCCTCCAAATATTCGCAGCCATGCCAGTTAACAGAACAAGTTTCCTCGGGCTCTGCTGCCTGGATGCGTGCTCGCCTGGCATGGACAAAGGTGCTAATTCAGGCATTGGTACATTGCAAGGAATACAGCTCCGTGTGTGTAATGTGTAGGTGTGTGTTTGAGCGGCCACACTGTTTTGTATGTGTGTGCTGCAGCAGAGAGAGAGAGGCCAGACGGTGTGTTTTCACACACGCTTGGTCGATTCATTCACCCATCACTGCGGTGAGCACACACACTCACACTCACGCAGGCTAATACGCATTTGGGCGCTGTCAGCCGCATCAGCTACAGTACGCCAGAGCAGCATGGGAATTAAAGGGGAATTACACTGAAGCAGAGCTGAGAGGCTGTTTGTTGTTCGTCACATGTGAGCATTCACCTTAAATTTATTTTAATGAGGCCGCATCATGGGAAAGGTAAACTGTCGCTGCTCTGGCGGAAAGTTTTGTTGTTGCTTTGACAGTTAATTTCCCAGCTTTATGTCACGTGCGATACTCTGAATTATAAACAGAAAGCTGCTAAATAATGGAAATCACAGAAGAATGTCGGCATAGAAACAACCCTGAAAGCGAATATTGCAGTCATATGCGCCTTTGATACTTAAGTGGCTGAATGGTAGCTTTCAGAAACTATAACAAGAATACAGAGCGAGATCTTTTCTCTTCAGAAAAATTGACCTCCACATTTCACAATGCAGCTGAATACAGTCATCAGCTAAACCCTGAAGAGGGCTTTTTGCTCTTGTTCAGTCTGAAGTTGAATACAGGGGCTGCAGGTGAAGTTTTTTATTTAGTGCCACTAATATTTTGCTCCTCGGCACCATTGTGGTGTTTTAAATGGATACTCAGAACCTTGTTACACCAGATTACAGTCTCAGTTTTGACCCCAGTTTCAGGCTTTTAATCATAAAATCTCTCTCAGACAATCAATGTAAAGGCACTCTTTCTTCTGGCAGACCTGACACATCTGTCTGTTTGGCACTGTGCAATAAAAGCAGCAGTGTGAATAGTAGGGAAGCAAAGCTAACCAGCTGTAAGTGCATGTACTGTGTTGTGTGTGTTGAGCAGATTATTGTGTGCTAGAGGTGCGCGGAAATCACAGCTCAGTTCACACGCCTGTTTAGGAGTCACGGTTCGGTGCAAGTTCGGTACAGTGGAAAGAAACAAATGTATAAAGATCCATTTCTCTTCATTTATGTTAATCAGACAGTATTGGACGTGTCAGAAAGACAAACTCCTCTTGCTGGGGACCGGAGTAACATTTTGCCCGTCTGCAACATCACTCAACTGTTTTCACCATAAAGATTTTCATACACTTACGTGTTACACTTTACGGACACTTTCCCAAAAGGCAGCAGGTCTCAAGAGGCTATAAAACTGAAAGCATCTCTTATGATGTGAAATTGAAAATAAAAAATAAATAGAATAATAAAAATAAAACTTGTGCATTAGGAGGAGTGTAACAGTTATTTCTATCTGGGCTGCCGGCCAATCTAAATGCCAACTGCTCCAGTAATTGTTTTATCCTGTTCTGCTTTTGCATCTTAAAGAGTTGGAGTTATGTTTTTTCCTCGTCCCAGTCACCAACACATCTGTTACCCCTTTTCCACCAAATTAGCTCTGGTTCTTGAACCGGTCCTGATCAGGACTCTCAGAGCCTTGGTGCTGTCTAGCGACCCAGCCTGCGCTTCCCCCATTTTTGAATGAAACCATTGTAATCAAGCATCATCAGCAGAGGGCGTTCCACAATGCACAGTTGGAGTAAACAGTAGTAGCAAGATGGCAGATCTCACTGATCACCTGTGAGCCTTCGTTCCGTTATTACAGCCATTTGTTTTTGTCCAAAAATAAGCATGGACCAACTATTAATGACAAGAACACATAGAAGACTAGAACGTTCAAGACTCCATCTTGTCTTTCCAACGTGTAGCATATGACACGCCGATTAATAAATGATTAGAAAACCAACTTTTCAGGTTCTGAGCCAATTTATTTTTGGTTAAAAAGCTCAGAACGCTTCACTAATAGGCGCGCAAACTAGAACAGCACCCATTCCATGTTGGTGATGCTGTCGAATTAGCGCTACATGTAGCATGTTGGACGTGTGGAGCAACTGCAACACATCATCCTTGTCTTATACACAACTCCCTCTCCGTTGCTGTTGTAGCTGCACGGGAACCCACAAGCCGGTCTTCAAGCTCCAACATTTTATTTGCGCTCGCCAAAGTGTGACTGATTCGCACTCCAGTCCTCTTGTTTCGCTAATCTTAGCAGCACAAGTTGCCACCTGCGTACAGCTTAAAGTTATAGGATGAAACTCCCGCTCATGAAGTGTGTTTCAGCTTTATGTGCATTAAGTGACATTGTGTTATCCGTGTGCGTCTGTAGGAACTGAACCATGACTTCTGTACCGTGATGGTTTGGCACGAATACACAAACCATTACAGCCATTACTATGTGCAGTGCATTCGTTTATATCTTAGAATTTAACACAGGGAGTAGGATAAAACTTTCTCTGTGTATCCCACATAATTGGTGGCAGATTCAAACAAATTTCAAATCCTTTTTTTAGGTGTCGGGGCTGCATTAGACTGCTTTGTGTTAATTACATCCAGGCCACAAAAGGCGATTTATTTCCTCACAACAAAGTGAAATAACTTCCTGTTTGTGTGCACTTGTTCTGTCAAAGTGTGGACAAGTTGAGACTGAGACCAGAGCAGATGATGACCATTGTGAAATCTCCTAACTTGTCAGATCAGGTCCCTCCTGCATGAGGGATTATCTAATTATCTCTCTAATTTTATAATGCTGGAACTCGATTTTATGTGCTCAGCTGGTCTTTAAATATATTACTGATGGCGCTGAGTCACTATTGGCTACATCACAGCAACAGATAAGTTAGTTTCTCATAGTAATCCAGCGTAATTTAAATGACCTTAAACTAAGAAGTTCTGTTTCCGTTTAAGCAAGTATATTAAAAATGGATTTATCTCCCAAAGGTCTTTTATTAAATGCTGTTTTTTTTTTTTTTTTGTCTGATGGAAACACAGAAAATATGAAGTGGCACTAGATGACAGAGAAAGTTTTGCTCTGGAGCCCCGAGTGTGACAGCATCTTGGCAAAAACGATAAGATTGGAAACAGACTTAGTTCCTGTGAAGGTCGTGAGTGATGCTTTAAAGTTTGGAAAAAGTGACTTGTTGACAAGTTTGGAGACATTTTGGAATTTACAAAAAGCAGACCCGTATCCTGCGTCGCGGTACTGTCGTGTTATTGTGAAGACTGGCCTTCGGATGTGGACGCCAGTAACCAGAGGCGGGCTGGTTTGGTTTGTTGTCCTGAAGTTTGTCTGTCAGATTCGGTGGATTAGACAACACCTGTGATAACTGGTGGTCACATGAAGTGTGTTTCGGTCTGCAGATATTCCCATATTACTTTTGAAATGAAGTGTGACGTTTGGACTGTAGGGGGCAGCAGAATGCCTTGAGTGTCAGAGGTGTCATCATCATAGTTAAAAAGGGATCGCGTTGTTTAATTTGAAAGATAACCTATATCAATCCCCCTGCTTTTTTTATATCTACCATTTCCTGTGTTTTTTCTAAATCTGCATATCTGCCAGGATTGGTGAACCAAACTTATCGGTACATTGGATTGCTATGAAACTCCCAACGCGAACATATCGTATCAGAAATGTTATTTAAGCATGATAATCTTGACTTGGCATATTATAGATTTGTGTAGTTGTAAATTAGACACTGACAAATTAATTTTTTCTTCATATTTGGCCTGTTTTGGTGTTTTTTCCTTTTTAAATGAGAAGAAACCAGAAGCACCTTATTACCAGCGCCGCATCAGAAATGCTGTGGTGAATTGTTTCTTGTCACTGTCACGGGTTTATATTGATGTTTGGACTGCTCCACACACACACACACACACACACACACAGTGCATACCCTCAAGGTGAAGGGTCTGTCATTAACCCGCCTCTTAAGCGAAACACAGAAACGGCGCTGCACAAAAACGTTAAAACACCCCGGAAAAAGAACCAAAAACAGCCCGAGAGGCGTCATCTAACCCGTCTTTGGACTGAACCAGTTTTGTAGACCAGTGTTATAAAAATAATGTCTGCTTTTTACAGCCTGGCTTTTGAGGAAAGATGTTTACATGACTATTTGTTCTTTTTTATATATTTACATGTATATCAAGTTTTTTATTATTTCTTTAAAAAAGAAAAGAGAAAAAAAAGGCTATCAGTCAAAGAAGCCTCGGTCCTGAGACGAGCACCTAAAGGTCCTGCAGTGAGGAGGTGGAAGGTAACCCCACCTTGCCCCCCCCCCTATTCTGGAGCACATGGTACGATCTGTGGAGACTTAACCAAGTTCAATACCTGAGGACAAAGGCAAGAAGAAGAATGAGAGAGAGAAAGAAGGAAAGAAGGAGAGGAATTTGGGGAGGGGTAGGGAGGAGGAGGGGAGACAGTTTGCACATT